GTAATTATTGGTAAATTTCATTTAGTTTTAAGATACTACTTTACCCTGAAAAGCAGCTGGAGGAAACAGCTTGACCAGAAATATCATAAAGAAGGAGCCCCAAGAATGAAATAAATTACATAAGGGACTGGAGGCTAAAACATATAAGGAATGGTTGCTGGAACTGGGTATGTCTAGTTTAACAAAGAGAAGGATAAGGGGGGGACATGATAGCAGTGTTCCAATATCTCAGGGCCTGCCACAAAGAAGAGGGAGTCAAGCTATTCTCCAAAGCACCTGAAGGCAGGACAAGAAGCAACAGATGGAAACTAATCAAGGAGAGAAGCAACCTAGAACTAAGGAGAAACTTCCTGACAGTTAGAACAATTAACCAGTGGAACAACCTGCCTCCAGAAGCGGTGAATGTTCCAACACTGGAAATTTTTAAGAAGAGACTGGACAGCCATTTGTCTAAAATGGTGTAGGATTTCCTGCCTGAGCAGGGGGTTGGACTTGATGACTTCCAAGGTCCCTTCCAACTTTATTACTATTACTATAAACATTATTTGAAATCTCAATATCATACCTTAATTTGCATTGAAGATACATGTTTCCTCTTTAACTTTAAACAGCAAATATCTAGTACTGAATGTGATATCTTTATGTCATACTCTGAAATGTGATTTTAATGAAGAAAACTGAAATGTTCTCCACTACTGAGTTACGGCTCTCTCATTTTCAATTAGAAGTGAAAATGCAATCTATTTATTTTGTTAGAACTCTCATAACCCTAATCTGGCACTTATGGCTCATTGATAATGATTTCCCCCCCCACCCCCAAGAAAATACCATTATGTTTTCCAATAATGAAAAAGAGCTGAATGCATGGAAATAAAAATAACAACAGGAAAAGCAATTAACACAAATTTTAAATTCAGTGGATAATAAAACTCAAAGACAGTTCAGTGGACAATTTGAAACAGACTATATTTATTCTGGAGGTACAATACAATGTGTAAAAAATATAAGCAACTTTAAAGTATATCCCATTCATTTATTATTTAAATATAGCTACATTTCTCTTTATTTGGCATGCCCACCACACAATCATGAGGAAAAAGATTATTTTCATTATAAATGGGAGAGGGAGGAAGAGGAAACATTAAGAGAAGTCTCAGTTACAAAATGTGGCTTTTTCTTTGTAAGATAGCTACAACCAGTAGATTTATCTACTTTTATTTTACTCAGCAAAATCAAAATTTGCCAATGTAAACACAGCTCCTGGATATGCAGGGTTGACAATGCAGAGCTGAAAGAGTGTCAACTATTGGAAGAGGATTACATTTTACAACTTGAACAAGCATTAATTGTGAATGGGAAATTTCAACCCACATTTTGAATTTGAGTTACCAAACATATGTGGTTTAGAAAATGAGGTAGTACAATCTTGAAAGAAAATTTAAGGACAATCTGCTACAGAAAGCTTTTCTTCCCATAACTCTCAACTAACTGTTAGTAAACTCCCAGCCAGCCAAGCAGGAGGAATCAAGTTGGGAACTAGCCTTGAGTCTTTGAGCAGCTACAAGTGGCATAAATTTGACACTTCGCCCCCCCCCCCAAGTCCCATGAAACTACCTGTTTGTTCCAGTGGTGGGATTCAGCCAGTTTGCACCACTTTGGCAGAACCAGTAGCTAATTTTTTGTTGCCCAGGCCCAAAATGGACTTCCGGAAGCGGCATCCACACAGAGAACCGGTTGTTCACATATTTGAATCCCATCATTGGTTTGTCCCAAGAGAAGACAAACATTCTGGGGAAATTCTTCTATTATAGGAAGAACACAATAAAGTTATTGACTTGGACCCTTCACGAGAAGATCTGGATGCTTGCCTCGACACTAATCCAGACCAACTCCTGAACTTAAAATCAAATTTTGGGAAACCCAGAACTCCCATTCATTTTTTTAGAAAGTGTCCATTATCTCTTGAGCTCTTGTATCAAGATACTACTGGCAAACCTTCATACCATTACTAGCATCTTTGTTATTGTGAAGCCATCAGCAAAATTGACACATCTTGGCCATTGCATCAAGGTTTTAAGAAATGCAAGAAATTTAGAAATAAATAGCCTTGATTTTTCAATTGTTCTTTCTTGCCAGCTCTTTTTCCTGGAAGATTATGTACATAAAATATATCATGTCATGGAGTTGGGTGTTTCCACAACATGACTCACTGGCATTGCTTTAATCCTTTATATGTTTGGATCAGCTCAGCATTAAATTTAACCCCCTGTGGATCAGTTCACTGGATCAAGTGACTACATTTTTATATTTCCACAACATATAAATCCTCTTAGAGATCCAAGTAAGTGTATTGTGTGAACAGAGTAAAACAGAAACAAATAATTTATTCCTGTAAGTCTAGATTTAGACAGACTTAGAATGATATTTCAAACTTTTCCAAATTGATGCTCCTATTACTATATCCAGTCCACTGCAAGGAGGGAGGAGAAGGGAGGAAGACATACCATACAACCTCAGAAACTGGTTGTCAGTAACTGCAAGCAACATTACAGTTGATTATCAATAGGCGGATTTGCAATTGATCCTTTGAGAAAGTTGTTACATGCATCAGATATCCAAGCTTTTGGTTAGTGGCAATGTTCATTTGTTATTATAGCCACAAATATCTTCATATGCAAACAAGACTCACTCAGCTAACATGACAGCTGTTTTTCATAAATCATGCTTAGAATCAGACTTGATTTGTAAAAGAGTCACATATACTGTATTTAACAGGGGCTAGATGAGATCATCTTTATGAATGATAATGTAATGAGATGGAGCCAGAAGATAGAGAATTGTGAATATTTCTCCAAACTTATACAGGCCAATATTTGTGAGAAATAAGTGGGAAGTTGGTCGTTCTTTGGCCAGAGTTGACAGTTATACATACAGACAATTACAGTTTCAGGGCCACCAAATTCCACACAGAGTTCTCTGATTTATGGGAAAGGTAAAAAGAGAAAACCATGGATTTGACGCACGGGGCAAGCACCAGGGGGCAGGAGTGAAAGATCCTTTGGTTCCTCTGGCTTCATTTCTTACTTGCAATAAAGATTCTCATCTAACTATGAAATTTCTCCTGAGTCTAAATATAAGAAATTAGTTTAGGCATATATATGTCTGTATTACAAGTCCAGGTCAAGAGAGGCTGAAACAAATATAGTGAAAAGAAAGAACTAATTGTCATGGCCTTCCATTAATGAACGACATGTATGTATTTGTATCCATATATGTGTGTAACAAATAAAACTACATAATTGACACCACAAACTTCCCATGAACTGAATGATTCTCAGTCATCCAGGTCATAGTTGTCTCAAAGGTGCTTTTTTTTCTTCAAAAGGTACCTGGGCTATTTTTTCCTTGAGGTTTTTTTCCTTCCTCAAGGAAAAAACAGTCCAATTGCCTTTTGAAGAAAAAAAAAAAAGCATCTGTGAGTTCTCATGAACTATTTTTAGGGTATCCACCCAGTGGTGAATTGTGCAACCTCTCCAATTTTTCATTTTCTGAAATAGGAGTGCACACTCATAATAATGTTTAACTCTATATGGCTCAAAAACTTCACTTGCTGATTTCTGCCCATCAAGGTGTATTAAATAGATAGGAAATTGTATTTTTCTGATAAATTGGTGACCCCATCCAGAAGTTCCCAGACGGCTTTGTGATAGCCATTAGTATGGATTATTATGGAGAAATTCCTGAAAAATCTTGAGTATCATTAAAATAAGAAATGTCCAGATTGGCTAGCCTGAATTTTTGTGGGGTTCTCATGACAAATTCAAAACTAGGTGCTTCTTTGGAATGATGAGTGGCTCAACAAGAACAACAACAATAATTCTATAGATGGAAAGGACCTTGGAAGTCATTCTAGTCCAATCTCCTGCTGAGGCAGGAAACCCTTTCCATGACTTACAAGGTAAATAGGAGCTTTGACTGGAGATGTTGACGAATTCTGTGCAGTATTTTTGAGCAGGCTTTTGCAGAAGCCTTTTTCTTCATTATTATTATTTATCATTATTATTCCTTGCGGGAAAGGAAAATATTCGAGATCAAGGGCAAATTGCCAATGTGACAGAGTATGTTGCTTAGGGGAGACCCTATAGTATTACCTGGTATTAGTTCTGTAAAAAATATAGAAAAGAAATGTTTGGCAGAAGATACTCCCTTTCTATTTGTAAACAAGACATTAAAGAGAATTTTGATGATTTACTTAGAAATATTGACTAAGATCTGATGCCTCTGAGAGATATGGTACAACGTCAAGTTCTAGCATTGAAATGTTCTCAAGTATCTTTACCTGTAACTTTACATTGTTTTATTCTAACATGTATTTGCATGTATGGGTGGGAGGGTGTGGTTGGCTGACACTTTAAGTCTCTATGCTATAGTGGCTTTGAGGAAAAAAAAATCTTTAAATTAAAGCTGGAAACTCCAAGTCAACCTTGAGAATCTTGATGTACTAGGGAAGACCATGGGATGTTATGAAAATATTGTGCAAAAGAAAATAGTGGTTAATAACTTTTTAAAAAGTTATTTATGTTCCTTTAGCAGGTGGACGGTAAACATTTCTTAGAAATATATATTTTAGGCATACTTTCCCATTGATATTTTGATTACCAAGATGCTAATGCTAATACATTTAAAACATTCTACTGCTTGCCAATAGTTGCTCTCTCTCTCTCTGTCTCTCTCTCTCTGTCTCTCTCTCTCTCTCTGTGTGTGTGTGTGTGTGTGTGTGTGAGAGAGAGAGAGAGAGAGAGAGAGAGAGAGAGAGAGAGAGAGAGAGAGAGAGAGCAACTATTGGCAAGCAGTAGAATATCATCTTGGTAATCAAAATATCAATGGGAAAGTATGCCTAATAGAATGGATAGTTTTTAGATCAGCCCTCTGTTTTTTTCTCTTTTAAATGGATCTGGAACTGAGATAACTTAAGAAGTCTATTTGGGGGGGGGGGGCTTTTTAAAAGGACAGACTTCTGCAAAAAAGGACATGTGGCCAATCTAAAATGTGAACATCTCACTAGTTTTAAAAAGTTATAATTCTTTGGAAAGATATAAATCATGTCAGCAAGCCAGGATTGTTCTAGCATCAGCAACTTTCAGATGGGTGGACTTCAACTTGTAGAATTCCCTAGCCAAAGTTAGGGTTGGAGAAAGTCTGAAAGTTATAATCCACCCATCTTAAATTTGCTGAGGTTGAGAAACACTGTTCCAGGCTCATACTTACAAAACTAATGCATACTGATAGTATAGAACATCATGAAGGACACTTCTTAACTATGGCACCTCAGTGAAAAAAGCAATAAACTGGAATGAGAATGCCATAGAGAGGGAAGCAAGATATTTAGGCAAATATGCTAGTGAAACATTTTTCATTTTAATAAAGCCCGCCAGATGATCATTCCCAAGGCTTCACTTGCTAAGCATTCCTTGATTTAGCACGGCTAGAGCACAACATAGCATAAAGATTCAAGCAAATCTCTTGCATTCTCCTGCAGGTTGAACAATTTAAATTGACTAGCAGAGAACTATATATGATCATCCCCTCCCCCACTGCCACAAAAAACAAAACAAAACAGAGTTGGGTTATGCATTGCTTTAATGTAATGAAGCAACCAAACATAGCCTGGCTCCTGAAGGGGACATCTATAGTGGAAAAGAAATCACTGTGACTTGCAATTTCCACTCCTGATGAACCACAGTGGGCCTTCCACAGCACTCAGCTTCCAACAGACATTCTGACTCTATGTGCTCCTAAACCCTCTCAGCCTTTCCAAAATAAAGATTCCAAACAATTTTTATTTAACAGCCCAAGATTTCATTAGGATTACAATAGTAACCTGCAGCAAAGGGATTCCTTATCACTGCAGATTGAGGACTACTCTTTTCCTGGTTAAAATGATAACTGCTGGTTTATAAGGCAATAGACGAGTCTTTGGCTCAGTCCCACATGTTCCTTGGGGGAAACGACATGGGGGGGGGGAGACACAAAACCTAGAATCCTCCCACAGGAGAATTAAATCACAGCACCAGCGTATCATACAGGAGTCCAAGTCCACATAATGCCCAATGGCTACTCTGCTTTTTAAAAACCGGGATAATTTATCTAGGTATTAGCAATTGGCATTATGGTACTACCCAGATTTCAATAGGTAAAACATAAAAGGGAAACAGCTCAGGTAATTTTAATCTTTCACATGCATAACACAAAATAGATTTTTTTTCTTTCAAAAGTTCAATGCTTGTAATCCATTGAAACACTAACAAGAATAACAGCAATAGCATTTCACAAATCATATTAGTAGGATTTTCAGTGGTACCAGGGATAAATACATGTCTAAACTTCAAAATTTCACAGGCAGCAATCCTTATGACTGACCTCAAACTAGTTTTATTTAGCATAAATAAAATTATATCTCTCACATCATTGAAAATCCTACCTGATCACTTATCTTTGATTTTAATCCTGAAAAAAAAAGAGTAGATCAGGAAAAATTGTTTACCCCATTTTTTGCCAGGTGCTGTTTGCCCATGCAAGGCAGGGGCTTTAGTGCCTGAGGTATAGGTAGTTCCTGGATGCTTTTAGGGAAATGAGAGGGTGGGAGAATCTGGAGGATGGTTTGCATAGCTTGCAGGTATAAAGATGCAGGTGTGTTCCCCACCAGGCTGTTGAACTTGTCTTCTCCAAGCAGCACTGCCCAGGGTTCAGGATGTTCCCGCAAGACCTTCTGCAGCTTAAAGCGAGGGCTAGGCATGAAGAGCAAGAGGTAGTCAAGGCAGAGTTTTTTGGGAGCCACATTGACTTTGGAATCCCACATCTGTTCCAGGATGACATCCAGTGGAGTGAGTCCTTTGTTGTCTTCTATCCTAGGAGAAGCTCCATTTCCTAGCAAGATGAGAACAGTCTCTGATCTCAGGAGCTCACAGGCGAGATGCAGAGGGGTCTTGCCATCTTCAAGATGAAAACAGCCGGTCCTATTGATGTAAGAGTTCAGGCTAGGCAGCTTGTGTGCGATGCTGATGATCAGCCCCAGAATATCCCTCCTGTCATAGGTTACAGCCATTGCTAAATGAGGAGCAGAGGATGGGCAATAGCAAAAATGCTCTCCAGGAACTTTGAGAGCCTCCTCCGGAAAATGAGACAGAAGATACTGGGCATAAGGCAGATGATTGTGCACCACAGCATACAGCAAAGCTTCTGAAGGAGAATATGTCCTCATATTAGCACTCTCTTCCCAGTAGAAATACTCCATAGTCCTCATGTCCTCTAGCAACCACACAGGCTTGTGATCTCGGACAGCCTGATAGAACATATAAGATAGAATTTTGCAACGCCTGCTCTGGGCATCCTGTAAACTGGATGCATTGCTACTGGCCATATTTCGAGGAGCAGTCTCTTTTGTGCAGAAACGAATAAGCACAACAATAGTAGCAGTAATAACAGTTCTCTGTGCAATGGAAGGCTGGCTTTCAGTTTCAATGCAGAATCCAGAGGCTGCTGCACTTTCAGGCTGTCATTGCAGCAGCTTACTCTGGACTGCACCAGCCAGAATGCATAGCTCTTTTCTGACGAGGGCTGCTCATCTCCACCCATTCAGTGCTTTCTTTTTCTCACTGCGGTGATTTTGTTGAGGCAAGCACAATCACGCCAGCTCATTTAACCATTGATATGCAAGCAAGCAGCATGTTAAATCAGTTCTCCATCAGATTAACAGAATGCCAACAATTGTGATTTATTTATTTATTTACTTTGAAAAACAAATAAAGAAATCAGATTACAGGAATCTGTTTAGAGAGGATTACATGATTCCCTTTGAAATGAAAACTGTTTAGATGCTCCCCACAGAATGTCCATGATAATTTGGTCTCTTTATGATCCAGCCTAGTTAACTGAAATATAAACTTCCGTCTTAGCCTGACAGGTTTTGAATAATAGCCCCACAGCATAAGCTTGCCTACATCTGGCTATGGTGGCTGTGGGTCTAAGAAAATTCTGCTGTTCTGGGAAATTGGATATGCAAATCTTTAAAAAGTGATTGAAGTAGAATTAAGACTTTTGTGATGCAGTGTAAGGGTAAGGTGCAAAGTGGGGCTGTTAAGCAAGGCTAACATTCTGGGTCTTCCTGGGTTTGGAAGAGAGTTTATGAGTTTTTCATTGTTTCATTTTTAAATTAGCCTGCTTTACAGGTTAGTCTATACTTTGTATATTTTCTGCCTTAGAATGGTAGAAAACCATATGACTGATTTTTGCCACTAGAGCCAGGACAGGTTTTCCAGCAGCTGTTTTATTGGTCCTCTAGTTCCCCCTACTTCGCACAACCAAAATTTGGTGGCAAAACCATTGATTTTTGTGCCATGATTTCTGATTGGTTTCTTTTCTTCAAAGTGTAGAATTGGGGTGTTTATTTTGTACCTCTAAAAGCTGCCAAAAAGTGTTTCTGCCTTGCCCTCTTTTGCCACCACTAGACAACTGAACACCCACACACAGAGAGAGAAGGAGAGAGAGAGAGACTCCTTCAAGACCTCAAGAGCTCTTTTTCTTTCTTTTAAGTGAGCACTAACTTAGAAAGTTGCTTATTTCTGCTAGATTGTGCTGGTTTATTATGGGAATATTCAGTGCTTGTTTTGTAAAAAAAAAAAAAAGAAAAAAAAAGATGCCGGAACTCACACATGTCATACAACCCGCTTTGCCTACCCTACAAGGTTCCATCCAAAAAAGGTGCCGGAACTCCATTCCGGGCGTTCTGTGACCCAAAAAAAAGCCCTGGGAATATTGTATATAAGAAGGGAACTTTTACATGGAAATAACAAAATCCAAAGTACGTTTGAAGACTATTGAATATAAATATAGAAAAAAGAAACTGGTTTAATGTCTGGGGGGGGGGAGAGAGAACAGAATCAGAGCATTCATCATTTTTCTCATCTGTAACTTATATTGGCTTGTTGAAATTTAGAAATATACAAAAATATTTTAGTTACTCCTTACAGTTACTCGTTGCCTCCTCTTTTCTCAATGTTATACAAACACTGAAAGCAGCTTAGTTTAATTGTGTGATATTATAAGCTACAATACTTTAATACCAACATAAAAATCTTCATCATAAAGCATACATGACAACATTTTCATGCATTTCCAACACACATTGTCTATTGCTGCTATTCTCCATCAACCCTCTGTTTTGCAGAGCAGAGTCACTATGAAGATGCAGATGAGAAAATAGCTTGGAAAACCCTCAGTGCAAGTGGGAAAGTCTGCTCACAAAATCTGCCTCCTGCAAAGTACTAAGCTAATTAAAGTGAGTGGCATCAACTGTAAAAGAAATTATAATTAGCCAATTTATAGAAACCACATAGGCTTTTCCGCCGTTCTTGCTATGTAGTGTAGAATGCAGCATGCCAAATTCAGCAAATTCAACCATCCAAGAGTGTCTTCCTTTGATTACAATGGTTTTCATCCTTCTTTCAATAGACTGTTCTATGCACTATGGATTATGTGCCATTGCTTTAGTAAAAAAAAATAAAGGAAAATAATTTTTGTTTAGTCACAAAGCCGTGTCTGACTCTTCGTGACCCCACAGCACAGCACCTCGCCCTGTCCACTGCTGTTTGCCAGAATCTGCCTAGTTTATGATCACTGCATTGATGGCACTTTATAATCAAGGAAAACAATAGCTGTTTTCAACTAATTCTGATCAATTTTTCCCTTTAAGTTCCACCTATTTTTCTCCTTTTACTCAATTTTTTTTATTGCGTAAGGTTTGCCCATATGTTTCCTTGTGTAACATTACAAGAGTTTTCTCTAGCTCTTTGCTGCAACTTAATGGTTATCTAGACTTCCATAACGGATGTGATAGCTTCAGCCAAGAACGAATTCCTTTCTTTCTAACACCAAACATCTAGAATATATGGTGGAAAGGATAATAATTCTCCAGTTCATGCAAGGTATAGGCCAAGGGTAGGCAACCTTGGCTCTTTTATGACTTGTGGACTTCAACTCCCAGAATTCCTGAGCCAGCCAAGGTTGCCTACCCCTGGTATAGGCAAACTCAAAAATCTTCAGCTTAAAGAGTCATGCTCCCCCTCCTTCTAGACTAAAAACAGAAAAGGTTTCAAAGTAGATACATCGTTACCTAGAGTTTTCCCTATACATTGCCAGCTGTTTTTTCTCATATCCAAGGCTAGAACAGGGAGAGAATGATGACGTGATCACATGTCAACATACTGGATGTTCCTGGATCTTGTTTTACAATTCAAAACTAACCCATGGCGTGTTATATTTGGCTCCTATAATGGGCTCAGAGGCAACAAAATGCACTTAACAAGAGGGCATTGTTGGTGGCTGTCATGAGCCCATTTGTGCTGTGGAAGGCGTATATTCGAATAAATCCTTTTGCAAGTTTCTGCTCCAGCACAAATAGAATCCTGACTGCCATTACACAACTATTTGCTAATAATTGGGGAGTATAACTCTATTGAATTGTTTTCTTATTTTATTTTTTATTTCTTATTTTATTCCCTTTCCTAGAAAACTAGGTTCTCATTAGCTTTAGGAAGTGGATACCTTGCAATCCCTTATAACAGGGATTATTCTATGTGATTCTGCTAATTTAGAAAACACTTGTCTAGGCCAATAGACCAGTAGTCTGAATTGGTATTCTCTCTATATAAATCTCAAATCAACTTGAATACTCTTTCAAACAGTTCAAACTAATCTTCTGATCATCCACAGATAATTCACAGCAGCTGGAAGAAATTGCATAGGCAGACTGGGCTAAGTACCTATTACTGGATTTTCTAGGGTACTTAAATATATATCATGATGTTTAATATTACTTTAGAGCAGTTGGAGTTCTCTGTCTAATGACAACAATACATAAATGGCTGAGTCAGGAATTTTAAATTATAGAAAATAGCATAATATTCACTGCTAATGCCAAAAGAGGCCTATATTCATGGTAAAGTCTATCAAATACTTATATCATAAATAAGGAGAAAGATATACTCTATTCTATTGAAAATGTTAAATTATGCAGATAGCTCTAGATAGCAGAATTAGAAAAGACCAGATTGTTTCTGCTATTATCTTCATGGCAATCTCCCCATTTTTTTAAAAAAATGTTGGATTATCTAAAAATTACAAAGAGGATTATGGATTCCAATAATAGAAATATGATTCCCAAATTAAGAGATGGAATATATTAATAAAACTTGAGCATTTTAAAATTGGACAGCTAAGTAATTGGGTGGAATTTAGGGACAACACAGAAATCTGCTTTGTGTGTATTTATATCTGATACCTTTTCCATTTGTGAATGCTGCTTTTAAATATTTATTTCCCAGAGTTTCATTTTGGAATAAAGTCGCACAGCTCAGTCTGATATATAAATCAGAGATTAAAACTATACCCATCAAACACCAGAGTGATATCTCTGACCACAATCACATGTTCATCCACATAGCCAAAGAGGAGTAAAGGACTAATTCGTAGAGAGATTTTTTATTCCCTGGAAACATATGACTGTATTAAAACTGTTCTGGAGAAGTGCCATAAATATTCAGCCACCTACCTTCCCTAAATGAACGACTATTTAGATAATTGCAAACCAAAGACTTCTATACTCAGTCTTGTCTTCCAAAGGCAGATGAAGATTGACTAACCTTCATATGATAACCTCACTGTTTATTTTAAAGTCTTATGATTCATTTGAAGAAACAACAGAATAGACATAAGTGATACTATTTTCTTCTAGAATCTAGATGATAATCCACACATAAGAGATTTAAATACTAGTTATGTCACATTTAACTGCAATTACAGAAACCAAATGCTTCCTGTAGTTTGTAAATAATTTCTTGCATAGTTATGTAGGAATTTTGGTCCATTTCTCCACAGAAAAATATTTCAGCTTAATATTCCTGCATGAAACACTAATTTCAGGACACACCATAACATTTCTATGGCGCTCAGTCTAGACAATATTCCAAAGCATTTATTCTTATGTACCTATTCACTTATGGATTTGTGCTTAATGCTTTGCTGCAGGAATCGGTTGAGCTTCAGCAGACATTCAGATTCTCCTACAGTATAGAATTATTTGAAGCAAATAGATTTAATATTTCCTTCAATGATGGGAAATCATCTAGGTCCTGTATGTACTGCTGGATTTCCCCTTGGTATAACGATACATGTGCATTATAGTTTAGAAAATTTTATTTTTGTTTCATCAGTCGAGAAAACAATACTTAAGAAATATAGAGGGCCATCAAAGTACTTTTGACAGTCTGGATACGAGCATCTATATTTTTGATAAAATCATGAACACTGGTTTTAGTGAAGATATAAGAGGCCTGAAGATCCCTAGGTGCTGCTTTAGGTTTCTCTCTGATGTTATGCTTCTAGAACAGTTTTGTCAGGGTAGTTCATCAATATCTATAGGGGGAGTCAAAATTGGCCAGATAGTGAACCTGGTGTCACAGTGAAAACTCTACCCGTTTTGTATGTGTATATCATTTGCCACCCTTGAC